AAACTTCCAATAAAGAAACCAAGAGATAAAAATTCAATGGAGTCCAAATTTGTTTTGGGGTTTTTTTCCATCCACTTTCTTCCACACCCACATACACTGTGTACTATGTACATGTGTGTGTGTGTATGAGGCTTTGTGTGTATTAGTGTGAGTGGCTAAAAGTGCAGCAAATCGTTGCAAGTACCGCCAATCCAGTCCAGTTAACTTAAATCCCTATTTGCCCCGCTGCCCAAAAAAGTTTAATTGTTTGCCTTGGACTCTGGAACTCAAAAAAACTAAAGAAAAGTTTGAAATTTTTATAAAAAAAATATATAAAAATAAATATAAATTATAGTCTATAATAAATAATAACTATATTACTCATTATATATTTTTTAAAATATTTATTCATCTCCCTAGATAGCTTCCATATTTCTTCAAGTGCAACCACTTCACACACTTCATTCAAACATTTTCCTGCAACTTTGTAGCTATGTTGTAAGTTGTTTTGTTCTCTATTGTTGCTGTTGCAACTTCGATTGTGCAACAGACGAAAATAGCAAGAAATATGCAAAAAGTTAAGGCAACAAAAAACAAAAATGTCAAACAACAAGGCAAGGCAGCAAAATATCGTGCAAACCAAATAAATAAAAATAAGTCAAAGGCATTGGGAATCAAATAGAAACAAATGGAGTAGGCATTGGACTCCATCCAGCACTATGGTTGTGAAAAATAAATTGCAACAAATAAATGCAAAATCAAATACAAAATAAACAAAACAAAATGCTGGCAAATTTGCATGCGAAAACGCGATGGCGACGTGGAAAAATGGAAAAAGCTGCCACACGACAGCAGTAGCAGCAACAACTACTACCATAATACTACTACCAACAACAACTGTGGCAAAAGGAACAACTGCAATTATTCAACAATTTGCAAGGCTGTCAGGGATGTGGAGGAAGGCGAGGTGCCAGGGGCCAAATGTTGCAGGTGGAAGTGGGAGTGGAAAGAAAAGTTCTTCAAACTTTTTTTTTTTTCAAACAAAAGTGTGCTTGAGGTAGGTTCACTATACATACAAATATTTATAATAATATATTCTTTTATTGTTTTTAGCAACAATTTTCGAACAAAACTTTTTGGGCCGAGCCACAGTTGGGCGCCAATATAATTAATAATTTAATTCAAATTCTATATAAATTATTGAATTTGGGACTAAAGTTTTATATAATAAAAAATAGCAAAGAAATTATAGACTAGAGACTAGAGATAAAAAAGCTTTTAAATTTTATTCCTAATTCTTAATTCTTAAATTAAAATATAAATAATAATTTATGATTAAAGATAGATCATAAAAACTAAAGACATATTATAAATAATCTTTTAAATTTCAAGCAAATCACAATTTACCAAAGCCTAAAATTTGCAATTAAAAATGTGTCTGGCTCTCTTTGAGATACAAGATCTATAAGATAATTTATGACAGCCCCTCGTATCTCTTAAATTTTAAGTAAATTCCCATTTGTTAGATGCCCACCACCCTGCCCAGGAGTATCTAGTTTTGAGTGGAAAAACACCTCGTGTTCGTTATTCATTTTGTGGGATCACCTCAACTACAGAGCCTCTTTGGGGTACAAAGTACATTTTGTGTAGTAGCCTCCTGCTACCAGGATTCTCACGTAGGACGTTCCCTGTCCAGGTCTGTCTTGTTTACAGATTTTTTTTGCTGCTTCTACACTCTTCGTTTTTTATTCAACATTTTTTTTTTTATGGGAGAGTGTGTGTGTTGTGGCTTTCTGTTGGTTTATTTTGCTGTCTTGGCAGAAAACTGTGTAGTCCGATGCAGTGATTCTGCTGCTGTTATAAAATATGAGCTGGAATTAGGCTACCATAGACACACTAGTACCCGCAAAAGCACACACACGCCCCATCCAGACAGACATCCAGACACAGACAGGCATATACATATATATACATATTTGTGCAAAGTTTTCATATATTCGTGTGCCTGAAGTTGTTCCCGCTCGAAGCGGCAACTGATAAAAAAAAAAGGCATGTAAAGAAAGGAGGTGGGATATGGTAGGGTTGGGGGGCCAGTAAGCGGTAGCCGGGACATATGTCCTGCAGGGATTCGGCTGGCTCCTGGGCTTGCGAAAGGTGTGAGCGTGTGTGTGTGTTTTGTCAAATGTGCACTCATTTCTGCTGAAAAATTGAAGTACATGCATGACTGCTCCAACCTGTCACAGGCCACTACCCCGCACTCTACACTGGCACCTGAAGAGTCCTTGCCTACAGTGAGAGAAAATAATAGGCACTGGAATACCAAAATAAGGTTTAGGAACTTCTTTAATTATCTAATACTAAGTCTTCTTTGATATTTAAGCTTGAGAGGTAGTTTTTCTTTAAGTGTATCAGTTGCCAAGCCTTTTAGAGACTGTCTTTTATTTTCGGTTTTTGGTGATACTTTGTTTCTTGCATTTTTTGTCAGTTTTTTTTTTTTTGTAGATTTTATAAGATTTCCGGTCACTTCACTAATGAGTTTTACAATGCCTCGTAGCAAACACACATCACCCACCCCTACACACACCCACTCGGAGAGACACTCTCACAATATAAGACTGAAAATTGTTGATACAATGTCCTTGCACAAACAGTCCTTAAATCCAATCCTTTGCCAACACAAACAGGAGCGTGTGTGTGTCCTTAATTTAATTTGCCATTCTTCATGTGTTTTTTGGCCAAAAACATGAGGACTAGGGGCGACCAGAGGATCTCCATTGAGCCGTGTCTTTGTTTGTCTTTTGTTGGGAGAGGTCATCTTTTATGCCAGGATGCCTTGTCCTTCGGCTCGAGACCGACGCTTAAGGAAGAACTTTACAACAGTTAAGTGCTTAATTTATGTTGCTGGACTAATTCATTGAGATGGTCCTAGCCTGGCCAGAGATAAGTGAAAAGAGTCTCCTTCAGGTGAGCTCCTGCCACTTTCAGGACCTGGCCAAATAATTGGTTTAGCCATGCATGCTAACGTTTTATGACCCAAAAAGCCTTGGAATATTTTATTCAATTTCCCCGCATAATTCAATAAGCTGTAAAATATTTTTAAAGTCCTCCGAGAGAACCGCGCATCTTTAAGGCCTAGCCAATGGGTGGGTGTCTGGGAAACTTTTTCCTTGGTATCATTCAAATCTTTAGACAAGTTTCCAGCCGCAAAGTGATTCATTCATAATCCCCCAGGGAAACGGGAGACCAAGAGGGGCATTTTCTATTTTTTGCCACCAATCTCCCAGACAACCAGTCTAAGCCAACTGGCCAAAGTTCATTCATAATCTGAGATTGTTTCGCAAACTATTCAAATATATATACGCAAGTATGCCATAAACACTTTTGCACCACTCCAGTACTCCCATACTCCCATACTCCAGTTGATGCTATATAGAATGGGGATTTATGATAAACTTGGCTCCGTTTTAATATTCACATCACACGCGGCGTATGAGTAATTTTGCTCGGCAAATATCCAAGTCGTGTTTGGTTGGTGTTGGGGAGTATGAGGCGACTGCTAAGTGAATGAAACATAAAACAAAGTGAATTAAGGCGAATACAATTGAACCGTATACGATGGCATTATTTGACCCACTTTGAATATAAATTAAATCTCAACTCGCGGAAAGCGAAACCCAAACTCTAAACCCAGATATATATATATATATATATAACATGTATAATAAATAATTCAGGGTGACAACAATTGATTCTGTTTGTTTATGCTGTTTGGGGAAATATTGTACACTTTTTAATTATTTATATATGTACATATACAGGATGGGGGACAATGTGGTCAGGTTGGTGTCATCACAGGGAATACCCTCTACCATCTCTACCATCATGTCGATATTGTTTTTTTCAATTTGTGTAATAACCTTTGTTTTCAAGTTGAAGAACTCAACATGCAATCTTATCTCGGCCAGTAATGTCTCTTGGCAATGTCAGTTTTTATGTTAAAACATTAACAACTTTTGTTGAAAACAGAAATATTATGAAACACTAATATTATACAATTATTAACATTTTTTTTTTTCTTTAGGGAAATATTTTTATTTTTATATCCTTTTGGTTCATTAAACTCCTTCAAGTTGGGGATAATTGGTTGGGAAATCGGCTCATAAATCTTGACTGCAACAAACATATTTAATTACAAAAGTTTTGCCAAACTGTCCAACGTGAACTGTCGCGACTGTTGCCACGCCCACGGCTCCTACTCCAGCTCCTGTTACGCCCCCTTTTTAAATGTCCAGAAATATGCGGGCCTGGCTGGCATTCTGTAGGGATATTTGGCATATTTTTTCGGAGGGCGGAGAGGTAGAAAAGGTTGATTGGAAAGGGGATTTTTTAGAGGGAGGAAGGGGTTTGTGAAATTATTACGCATACATGTGTGTACCAACACACACACGCACTGTAAAAGCACGCCCCCTTAGGCTCACTGCCATTTTTATCGGCTGCCAAATGGCCAACACTTGTCCAGTTGGCCGGCCAGTTGGCCTAACACTTCCGGATTCCGGATCGAGACCATAAACCGAAATCTCTTGTTTGCCCTGGCCCTCGCCCAGGCCCAAAGTGAAAAAGTGGGCGTGGCTGAGCGTGGCGAAATCAGTTAACAGGCAATTTCAACTATTTTACAGACTGTCCGAACGGTCCGAGCACGGTGGCATGCCAAATGACCCAAAGCCAAATGTCAATACTATCACTGAATGTTCAGATCCGATTGCAGGGCATAAAGAAGCACTGTTTTTCTGGCCGAGTAGGGCTTAATCCAGAAATCAATAGAAAGCGGAATATGAGTATAGTACCGGAACTAGAAGCTTTTGGGTGTATAGCAATTAGCCAAGTGGGATCATGGGTACATGTAGCACTTGAAACGATCTCAAGTGTTTGCCGTGGAGAGGTCTCTTATCGCTTATCGAGTCACAGCCGTGGGAGCCCGGCCGTATAAAAGAAGCCTCCGAACGAACCAGCATTCATCATCCAGCGGAAAAGTAGAAACTGCAGTAGCAGAGCACTAATAGCGCAACATGAGAGTTTGTATGTAGACTTGGCTATATCCTTTGAACGTCTTCATTGAGAGGAGCTCTTCTTTTCTTTAGACCACTTGCTGCTGATTGGATTTGGCTTGGCAGCGATTGCCAGCGGACACAAGGTCAGGAAGCAATCGTTGGCGGAGGAAGCCCTAATCGAGGAGGAAGCTTCTTTAAGCGCACCACTTTTGGAGGAGAAGGAGAACGCTCTGGAGAAGGAGAACGCTCCGGAGAAGGAGAACGCTCCAGAGAAGGAGAAGGATCTGCTAAAGGAGCTGTTGAAGGAGCTGGTAAAGGAGCAGGTAAGGGAGCAGGAGAAAGCCAGGGAGGAGGAGAAGGCAAAGGAGCAGGAGAAAGAGCAGGCGAAGCCACACGCAGAAGTCACCACCCCTTGCATCACCACCACCACATGCACCCCACCACCACCTTGCACCACCACAACGTGCGCCCCACCACCACCTTGCACCACCACAACGTGCGCCCCACCACCACCTTGCACCACCACAACGTGCGCCCCACCACCACCTTGCACCACCACAACGTGCACCCCACCACCCTGCACCACCACAACGTGCGCCCCACCACGACCACCTCCCTGCACCACCACCACATGCACCCCACCACCCTGCACCACCACAACGTGCGCCCCACCACGACCACCTCCCTGCACCACCACCACATGCACCCCACCACCCTGCACCACCACAACGTGCGCCCCACCACCACCTCCACCTTGCACCAGGACTCCACCACCACCCCCACCTTGCACCAGGACTCCACCACCACCACCGTGCACCAGGACTCCACCACCACCACCACCGTGCACCAGGACCCCACCACCACCACCACCGTGCACCAGGACCCCACCACCACCACCTCCCTGCACCACCACCACAACGTGCGCCCCACCACCACCTACTCCCTGCACCACGACCACCACACCCTGCATCACCACGACCACCACACCCTGCATCACCACCAGCACCACTGCGGCGCCACCAGAGAGCGGTGACGCTCTTCCGGAACCCATCGTCGCAGAGTCCTTGGCCGACCTCCTGATCTCTCGCCACGACTGCCGCGGCCTGGAGGAGGGAACCCTGCTGGCCGATCCGCGCCACTGCCGCCGCTTCTACGTTTGCAGCCGCCAGAGGACCAAGCGCCAGAGCTGCCCCAGCGGCCAGTGGTTCGATCGCGCCCTGAAAACGTGCCGGTCCCGCCTTGAGGTCCAGAACTGTGCCGCCCGCCGCAACTAGGGCGTGTCCTTGAATCAGTGTCAAAGCGTTAGTGCCTATTGCGCCAAATCTATTTTTTTTTTCGTGTGTAAGCCTGATAAGTGTGATTTGAAGGCTATTAGACCATTTTGTTTCCCATTACTTCCAAATTGTAAATGACTAACTAATGAGCAATCAATAAATGATTCAATGAGTATACTACAAGACAGTGTGCCCAGACTCGAGTGCAAGGCAAGTCCAGTGTGGCTGTAGCTACAACAGTGTACTTGTACTTCCAGTTACTTCACCCAATCAATCCATCAATCAATGCCATTAATAATATATATCTAAATATATAGAACACGACCGATTAGGCTGCTGTCTGGATCGTTGGCCCTCGAATTGTCATCAATTTGCCCCGTTGGCCAAAATAAAGAAAACTTTCAATCAGCCGAACAAAAATTGCGAAAAGCAAAACAACCTCATAAATTTGTCAACACTTTTGCCGTTGGAGGATGGAGTGAGGAGTGAGAGGATGGAGGACTATGGAGGTTAGGATGGTTGTGCCGACGCACAGTTTGGTGCACATCCATATCCGTTTTATAGGCGTCAACTTTTCGGTCGAGGACTCGCAGGAGCTACAACAATAACACCACCAACACAGTGCGACAGTTGTGAGTTAGTGTCTGTGGCATTACTATGTCAGGCTATTTATTATATCCCGCCATATACCATTGGAACTTTTTGGAGAATGGTAGTGAGTATGGGTGGGTGGGTGCTTGTGCCGGGCACTTGACAGGACAAAGAATTTATTTGTCGATAAGCATCCTTGATATTCCAATGGCACCACTGCCTCCAAGGCTCTCGCGAAAATCTCCCATAGTCACTAAATCAGCCTGGGCCCTAATACTAGTCCGTGATGGTTATTCATGTGTTTTATGTTTTATTTTAGATATTTTTTTTTCATATCTTAGCTAGAAAGTTGTCCTATACTGTATTTAGATACTCTTATTATATATTTTAATTGCTAGTCTTTTTCAAAATGAATACATTTATTTCGTCACTGAACTAAGATACTATAAAATTATTATTATTATGACCTTCTAAGCTTGTCATCGTAAAAAAAAAGAGCCAATGATTAGATTTGCTTTTTTAGCCATCTTCTGTAGTCATATTGACCTGCCTCCCTTATCGTTCTTAAAAATAAACACATTTCTTTCGTCACTAACCTAAAACACTCTATAATTATCACTATTTGTGTGTCCGAATCACCAAAAAAAAACGGAAGGGCAATGATTAGATTTGCTTTTTCACCATCTGCTTTAGCCATTTGGCTCACCCTTCGTTCACTTTTTCATCGAATGACCTGGGGGATTCCCTCGCTCTTAATCAGACCGCAGAGCCATCAATTCAGCAAACGGGGTCCGCCTAAATCAATTCATTGTCGCACACATTAGGGCCACCGCCCCCCTTGACGCCCAACCCCCTTAAAACCGTCGCCCCTGGATCCCCACCAGCCTGTCGACTGTGACCCCGGCTACTTATGGGAAAACGGGGCTTGTGCATCGGGCTTTAGCTTTTGCTTATCCCCATATCCCATATCCGGCGGTGGTTTATTATTTTCGCATCTTTGTCTTTTGCACAGCGTCCCAGCGATTCGTCAGATACTCAGATACATCGTAGGTACTATATAGCCTTGCTATTTGGTACCTGGTCGTTAATGGGTATATAGTATTTTGTTTATAAATTAAAGATAATCGAACAGTATTTATATACAGTCTTAAGGGATGGAAGAATTTTTCCAAGACCTTAAAGCAGGCTATGAAATTAGGGATAAAAGTACCGGGTATTGATACAGTCGAGAGATGTATAGTCTCCCATTTCAGTGGCTGTTGTTGCAACTGTGGTTTTTGCTTCGCTTGTTTGCTGCATTTTGCATTGTATTTTGTTGCTCCTGCTGCTGTGTATTTTTTTTGTTCTTCTATATAGTCCTCTATTTTTTTGCATTCTTTTCTTTTTTTTTTTTTTGTTGTTTTTTGGGTCACAAACACAAATCAAAAAGCAAAGCCGCGTTGCGTCGCGACTGACTTTTATCATATTTCACTGGGGCATTCGACGACCGCCAGAAAAACAGAAAATAAACCAAAAAAAAGCCGAAGGGAAAACCGTAAACGAAAACGAAAAGAAAAGAAAGCCCCTTTACGCCATGCAACAAATACCAAAAAAAAAAAAACAAAATGGCTAGAAGAGAAATTGAAACAACATGGAAGGACCTCGGCTGAGGATACTTTTTTTTTTTTGTTGCCATTACCCCGAAAAACGAGCCAGAGCAATAAAATGCATAAAACTTTAAATGCAAAAATGGGTTTTTGGTTACGTATGTATGTATCTCCACAGCCCTACCCTAGCCTATATGTATGTATATATTTAATATCTCTTTGCATATTTTTTTTTTGTTGCTTCTTGTTTCTGCGGCGTAAAGTGGCGCGTGAATTGTTTTTGCACAGTTGGGCGAATAAAACGCATTCGCATTCACACTCGGCCAGGGTGACACACACCCACACACACACACAGATCTCACAGAATAGAAGCATACACAGAGATACACTTGTGTCCAGTCAACCAAATCGAGCAAGTTAACATTGCCATAGGTGAGATTGCAAGTGGCAAGTGATACAAATGGGGATTACTAGGCAATGGGGGAATCTTAAATTTAAACTAAAAATCCATCAATAAAATCACTTATACCGTAAGTCCCTCAAAAACACATGTACCAATTAGTCCCATATTTTATGCAAATAAATGCATAATGTTTACATAATTGCCATTTAAGATAGCTGTCGAAAGGGGATTTCAAGAGTCTCAAAACAGCAAACATTTAACGCCTTTTTTTTCGTCACATTTCAAACAATATATTTTATTTCCGCTTACTCTGCAGTTGTTTGGTTTGATGCGAATTTATTTCTGTTATAAATAGAAAATAACACCAAAAAAATATAAAAAACAGAATGGATGTTTTTTTATGCTTGTAAAGAGCAAACAAGGGCAATTGTTTGCGGCCATTTAATTTATGGCCCGCTTAAAATGGCATTTACAAGCAAACATCAAAACTCCGATGTGATTCAAAAAATTTTTGTGGCTTTAAAGTGCTTCATTTGGGATGGATTTTTTGTGAATATTTGTACATTTATCCACAAATTTTCCCCATTAATTAATAAACATATTTAACACTTACCGCAAAAATCCCGGCGTGCGACAAATGCGTATGTTAATCATACACCATACCGATGCTTAAATCATTTATTAATTCGACGGTCCTTAGATGGCCACATAAATCTGTTTATTTTTCAGTTAAATTCCGTTCATGCTCTTTAGATTATTCTGAAAATGAATAAAGCGCAAAAAAATTTATCATTTATTTGTGTGGCAAGAATTAAGGCAGATCATATAAATAAATAAATAAAAGTCGTGGAAAGTTGCCAAATGACTCCTTCAGGCTTCCAAAACAAAAAAAAGGTCAGAGTTTGTAGAGACTATCTGATACCTGATACCTCATGCTACTGATTATTTTGTTAACTATTTTTAAACTAAATGTATTTTAAATTTAATCTGTTCATAGTTTTTATTTCAAAAAATTGTATAAGCCCAAAAACCAAACAAAAAAAAATGGGGTATACAAATTTTCCATTTTTTTTGGCTAAGCCACGTTGTGGGGTTCATTTTGTAGATTGCGCGTTGAATTTTTAATTGCCCTCGCAACGAAAAATGTACAAAATTACAACTAAACTTTAAATTAAACTTGAAGCACACACAAATGCACCCATGGGGGTGGTTCCGCCACCAGGACAGAGGCGGTAGGTAGACTCATTTTTTTTTTCCACAGTGCTTTTTGCAGTTTCTGTGCTGGTTTTTCGGGCCTAAAGTGCCTCACTTTATAACGAGCAGAGTTATTTCAATTATTAATTAATATCTCGCAGTGGAAAACTACATACATACATAGCAGACTCACTAATATGTATGTATGTGATGGGATGGGATGTGGCATAAGGTCCTTTTGCACCCGCATACACACAGTCAGCGTCGAAAGTTTGCCACCATTTGGTAAGTGAAAGTTGGGCGCAAGGAAAATAGTTTCCGGACCAATTGAAAAACGTTCAACGGAAAAACTTTTCGTTCAGTTCAGCTTCGTTTTTACCATTTCACCTCCAACAAGTACAACAACAGCAACAAAACACGTACAACTTGCACAATTTTTCAAATGAGAATTTCCACTAATATTTTTCTTTATATATATATAGATTTTTTTTTTTATAAATATACTATACTCGTATATATAGAAAATTGTTGTATCGGTGAACGGGCAACTGAATTTAATTAAGTGCATGCGATCCAGATGATGATGAAACTTCTCGGTGGCTGCAAGTTCCCAGAATTCGGGCAACAGTCATCGCCAAAAGTACCTAAACGGAAGTCAAGATGTCAATTATTTTGAGTGATTTTCAAGAAAATATATTCATGAAATTAAATAATAATTCCAAGTATTAGTTTTGTTTGAAAATAAATTTTACAAAAATTACTCATACGCCATGTAGTTTTTGTCGGCAATATTTTAGAAAAGGTAGGTATTCAGAGTATTTAACTTTATGCTATTATTATTTTTAATATTGTGATTTTCTATTTGTTTTTTTGCATTTAAGGAACTGTTTTTTTAAGGAAAAAAATATCACTCATACGCCATGTAGTCTTTATCAGAAATACGTTAAAATATATGAACATTTTCTTATGTGATTATTATAATTTTATTTAGTTAATTTTATTTTAGTTGTATTCTTATTTCTGAAATAAATTGCCGTGCTTTATCGAGCATCTTTAGAATATAACTCATACGCCTAGTGATCTCCATTAATTAAACGTTTTTTTTACATATCATAGGGAAAATATACTTCTTCTTATTTAATAGTTATCTTATTATAATTTTAACTATATTAAATCACTTAGAATTTAATTTCGAACTTTGGCTATAGTGGCTTCCATTTTTCAATATCACTCATACGCCATGTTGCACCCAAGTAAGTGCAAGGTTTTAAAATGGGACTCTTTTTAGAAAAAATATGCATATATTACTCCAAATTTATGAATATAATAAAATTGAATATCTAGAAATTATTATATTAGGACCTTCCCGAAAATATCACTCATACGCCACGTACTCCCCTAGAC